GTTAAGAGGTGATGTCGAAGACATGGTAAGCAAATGTGACATTTGCCAACGGAACAAGTATCAAGCTTGTGCCCCTAGTGGGTTGCTGCAGCCCTTGGTGCTTCCAAACAAGATTTGGGAGGAAGTTACCATGGATTTCATTGAGGGATTACCCAAGTCTGATGGGTATACGGTCATAATGGTGGTAGTTGACCGGTTGAGCAAGTATAGCCATTTCATTCCACTACGGCACCCTTTTTCAGCTCCTACTGTAGCATCTACTTTCATCAGAGAGGTGGTTAGATTGCATGGGGTCCCCACTTCTATTGTCTCAGATAGGGACAAGGTATTCTTGAGCTCTTTTTGGAAGGAGATCTTCAAAATGCAGGGTACATTCTTGAAGCGCAGTACAGCATACCACCCACAGACAGACGGACAGTCAGAGGTGGTGAACCGGAGCGTGGAGACGTACTTGAGATGCTTCGTTGGGGAGAGGCCTAAGCAGTGGGTCAAATGGCTACCATGGGCAGAATACTGGTACAACACTTGTTACCATACCGCAATTCAGTTCACACCTTTCAGGATTCTTTATGGAAGGGATCCACCACCGTTGGTGAATTATCAGAAGGGGACGACCCCGGTATATTTAGTGGATCAATACTTGGAGGAGAGGGATAAGGTGTTGGGAGAATTGAGGGAACACCTATTGAGAGCCCAACAGATCATGAAGACCAAGGCGGATGCTCACCGCAAGGATGTGACATTTGAGGTGGGAGAGATGGTATACCTGAAGCTACGGCCTTACCGACAGAAGACTTTAGCTAGCAGAAGAAGTGAAAAGCTCTCTCCCCGATACTACGGGCCTTTCGAGATCGAAAGGAAAGTTGGGATGGTGGCCTACCGTCTCAAGTTGCCTCCTCATTCCTCCATCCATCCTGTATTCCATGCATCACTATTGAAGAAGAGCATAGGGGATCATACTGTGGCCATTCCTACTATACCCCAGGGCCTCAAAGAAGATATTTAATTCTTACTAGAGCCACTATAGGTGAAGGAAGTGAGGAAGAATGATCAAGGCAAAAGGGAGGTTCTCATCGAGTGGAAGGACTTACCGACACACGAGGCTACTTGGGAGATATACGAAGCCATGCAGGCGCAATTTCCAGATTTCAACCTTGAGGACAAGGTTGATCTTCTAGAGGGCGGTATTGATGGACCGGTTCACCCGGTCCATCCTAGACCCGTGCGGGTCTATAGGAGGCGGGCGGACCGGCTGGACAAAAAAGGGGCCCACCCACTTATGTGGGGGTAATTTGGGGATGTGAGGGACTTTTGGATTGTATGAAGGGGGCCATTAGGGTTTTATTGGGGGCATTATGAAAAGTGTATTTTCTTTCTAGTTTTCTTCTTTTAGTTTCCTTCTTGTTCTTTTCTAGGGTTTTCTTGTGGGAGATCTTGTCCTTCTCGAAGTGGACAAACTTATCTTGTTTTCTCTTGGATTTCTAATGCAAAGGTTCTTATTTCTCATCCCAACAATCTTGTGATTATTTCTCTTTGGTTTTGGTGGAGAACTTCCTCTCTTTTGGGGGAAATTAGGGCAAAACCGAAATTGTGAAACCTTAGGGCGTATCAGAATTCTGCAAAGAAAGCACGTTCAAAATCTGGAATAGATTTAAGGTGATTTCAAATGGAATATGCATTTTAACTATAATACTAAGTAAGACAAAAGCATCAAATCATTAAAGGAAAACCCAATCATTATGATAATAAAATTGGGCACAATACTCTTCTAATTAAAGAAAAACCCAATCATTATCTATCAAATAAATCCAAACATGTAGCCCATGAATAACCAATATGCCATATTAAACGCCAAGCTGACTACTAATATTTTCAAGGCATTATCAAACACCAATGACTTTTGAGTGAGCAGCACATGCCACCACCTTAGATTTTGCATTGCTAGCCTTACTAGCTCTTTTGCTAAACAAAATCATTCAAAATTATTCAAGCATATTTGTGAAGAAAAAAACATCTGTGAAGAAAAAAGAATGGACGAACCTAATTATCCAAGCATATTTGGTATTTGTGAAGAAAAAAGCTTCTGATTTTGCTAAACAAAATTATTCAATCCACAAATAAGTTGTTGCATGCATAATATTTGTATTGCCTTAGAAAAAAGAATGTCGGCATGTTTATCTAGCTAGCTTTCTTGCAACCATCAACTAATCCTACAATAACAGCAAATGATCAGCATTAAACATCTTAATTAATCTCCTAAAGCCTCCAACAACAGCTTTCAGGCCTCTCAAATGGGTCTCTCCAAAACATACGGCCAATCTCTAAACCCTCATAATCATAAAAAGCTTGTAAGATAAGTAGATAACATCATTTGACAGGCTCGTTAGAATGGCCTCTCAAATGGGCCTATCATCATTTGTATGCTTCTGCTTGTTTTCTCCCTTCTAAGCAAAAAAAAAATTCTTCGCGGTGCAATACATTTGCAACCATCCAACTATTCAAATTTTGACAAATTTCTAATTTAAAAAAAAAAATTCTTCACGGTGGAAAGCCTCCAACAACCATTTGCAAAAAAAATCTCCCTTTTAATCTCCATTCAAACTTTCAGTAAATCTAAACAATTCACAGAAAAACACGATAATGCAACCATTCAACCATTTGCAACCATTCAATGTCACAAAAGTCGATAATGCATACTCACCATGAATGGATGCACGTCTAGCGACGCCCAATGCGATAGAGAGAAGAAAACGAGTGCGAGGCCACGAGCAAGCAGACGATTTTGCTTATTGAAATAGAAGAGACACTAGAGGCGGAGAAGAAGTCGCCAGAGGCGGACAAGATGAGGCCAAACTGCCCAGTTTTAAAAACCTTGCATAAAACTTTAGCCTTATGATGAACCTGTTAGGAGAGTAGATGTATTAGATACGGCCTATTGTATGAAAGGTCGGAGTAGGCCTAGAAAGAGTTGGTTTGAAAGTATTAAAAATGACCTGTCTTATTAGATTTAAATGGGAAATTGACTCTTAATAATACATAATAGAGAAAAATGATTCATGTAGTTTAGTCCATGTAGTAGGCTAAAGGCTTTTTGTTATTGTTGTTGCATCACACCCATGGTATAACTCATATTGCAGGTTGGCTATTTCCTAACTACCATTTCTAGAGAGTTGTTAGGTTAGAGTTTGTTCTTGTTAGAAGGTAATGGGCAGTTTTGGAGTGGGATTGGAAAGACTTCCAAGATGATGTTGATGGGAACATTTTGCTTATTATGTTGTAGTTATTATGTTTCTACTTCAATACACCCAAATATCTGTGTTTCTCTTTTGTAATGTTCATTCCACATTTTTTATTCAACCTTTAAATTCCTTGTTTTACTTATTCAAGTAAAGCAATTTTAATTTTTTATTTGCGTTGTTATTTCGAGGCATGAATGCTTTAGCCTGTCTTTTCCATTTCTATTGTAAACTGATTTGAAAATGGCATAGGCTTCTGCATTCTATTGTATATATGAAATTCTGATTATTGCATACAACTAATCTTGCTTCTCTCAAAGATTTCTTCTATTGTTAGTCTGTACAAATTTATTGTCTTTGTTGATATTTAATGTACTGCTCGATGAGGTGTTTTTGTAACTGACAATTTACCTTCTTACTTTTTTCATGTTACTTTATTTTCTGGTTGTGAGCTGATAATTCAATAGTTTTCAAGTTGCAAGTATCCCAAACGATTGATTTTACTTGTTCTTCAAAGTTTATATTCAAGTATTTATGGTCTTCATTCACTAAGGATATATTTGTGGCTTTGAGCTTGCTTTGCAATTTTCTGGTTTCCACTTCTTTCACTTCTACTGAATGACCGCTAACAAGCCTGATTTGACAGAAACTAGCAATAATTTCTTTCATGCACGTTACATTTTTTTGCTGCTTTCAGTCATTAGAGATTTGAAACAAATCGGGGTTTTCATAAAGTAATGTTTTGTATGCATCTCCTATATTATTTATTTGATTGTTCATTCCCTGAAGGGTGCATTATCTAATTGGACTGTTCCTTTTGAATAAACTATTGAAAGCCAAACTCCAGGTTAAGTTAACCTACCTTGCAATAGTGCCAAACCTTATTTGTTCTTACTAAATTTTAAAGCTTGCAGGAATCTAATTTTAAGTATTACTTTCAGCACATCATATCTGGATTGTGTGAATTTTCCAATGAATATTGATGCATGTTTTCTAGCAAACATGAATTATATTTTTCTCAAGTGTGCTATACAACGCCCGATAGTTGTTTTAGGTCGTTTCCAGTTTCTTGACCGTCAATGTCACTTGATTTTGCTAGTTAATTATGTGGATTCTTTTCTAGTTGCTTCAATCCTTTATTTTCCCAGTGGTTTCAGTGTTAAGGCTTTGATTTTAACTGATTAATTATACGTCTTGGAGTTTTTTCCTGCTTAAGTGTTGCATTCCGTTGGCTATGTTAGCTTTGCAACTTTCAGATTGTGTAGAATTTACGTAATATGATCAATGCTTTTTTTGACACTGACCTCATTATTAAAGTTCAATGAATCCTAAAAATCTTAGTTTTATGTGTTTAGATCATGCTATTGTAAATGAGGCATGGCAATGCTTGATCATTCAATGCTTACTGTTCTGCTTAGTTGTTTTAATATTCATATCAATACATTTCATATTCATGAACTGCCCCTTGTGCGATTAGTTTATTTCTACACCTATAGTTGTTTAAATCTCTTTTTACATATTCCTTAACTAATGCTAACGACACATCCAAAATTGTCTTGAAATTTTGGGCAGGTCAAACAATTGACTAACAGTGTACAATATATATTAGATACGATACAGCTGTCAGCAGTAGTGGAAGTGCAGGTTTGCATTCGAAACTCTTTATAGGGTAGTAAATATACCCTCATGGGCTTAAATCTTTTTGCTGTTTCCTTTATATGCACCACTGTCCTTTTTATCTTCTTTTGTTAGATATTTTGCTCTTCTGTGAAACATTTTCTCTCTCTAACACTCCTTCGCTCCAGGGTGAAAAAATAAGAAAACGTAATGATTGGATGGCATGGTTGCTGCACCCAGCTGATCATTCTGGTTCTGCTTTGCAATCTCCAACTACAACAAATTATGAGGAACTGGAAGGTAAGTTTCAAAATGTTTGTTTAGACTTAGAAGATGCTCCCAACAACACTGGCTTGGGAGGATCAGCTCAAAATAAGGTAGTTCTCACTAGATCAGCCTCTGCTAATAAAATAGTCACCTGTCAGTAGTAAGAAATTGAGGATGGAGATGGTCAAATCAGTTGCATGTTCTGATCAGATCTGGAACATGAGAAGTCTAGTCAGAAGCGATGAACTGCAATTTCTAATTTTTGAGGTTCTGGAATGATGTTCGAAATTGCTCTCTCTAATGATACCATATTATGGAAATGGGAAAAAAATTGATGTTGATCCTGTAGGTTTCTTTGTTGGGATAAAAAAGAAAGAGATGAAAAAAATAAATAAATACTTGTAATAGGAAAGAACTTTTGTGGTGGGATTGTACAGATTGGCTTAGAACAAATTATGAATGCAGATGGATGATGAGAAGGTACATTCTCTTGGTTTCTTTCTCTTTCTACGAAAGTAGACTCAGTTCATTTGTGGGAGAATTTTAACTGAGCTGGTTGTCTGATCTTGAATAGTGGGAAGGGGGCATTGGAATTGATGGAAACCTTCTGCAGTTCTGCTTCAGGATTATTACTTTTTGTTATTCCTTTATGCGGATATTAAGACCAAATGAATTATGATAGAGACGTGTTTCCTTAGCCCAATGTTTGTAATTGTACAAGATTCTCTAATCTGTGATTGGCTACAGCATATTGAATCTTTAACTATATTAAGACTGGCATCTACAATTTATTTGGAATGTCCTGGCATTGATTATTTGACTAGTTTATCCCATGCATCAATTTCCATTGACTTTGTGCTTAATTTTCACTTACAAAGATTGAAAACCTATTTTATAAGTGTATGCTTATGATTTTAGTGACGTATACTCTTAATTTCTTAACATTTATTACATTTTATTTATTTAAATTATAATACTTCAAAATTTTTAAAACTAAACTGTAAAAAGTATTTCAATTTTGCTAGTGCATTCTGTAGTTCTATGGTGTTGAGCAGATATAAATATCTTGTCGTTTCTTTTGGTTCATTAAGCTTATTATTTCACTTAGTTCAGTTCTTTTTAACTTAATTATTGCGATGTTCTTGGAAGAATTTGCTGGAGTAGGACCCTACAAATCACCCCACATGTTTGCTTCATTATCACAAGAGCTGTGTCGATTACACATCTTTTATTGAAAGATTAGCTTGGATATTCTGAGATCTAAGACCTTGATTTCATTTATAATTTTGATTTTATACAATAAAAATTAAAATATTTAATTGACTCTTCACGGCTATAATGAAAAATATTTGGGGTACAATGTTGTCTTCTGTGAGTAATAGTGCTGAGTGGGCATGGATTAGCTGGTTCTTTCTTTTGGTAATAATGGCTAGGCCTCTTGAGCAGTACTTTTGTCATTCATTCTTATTTATTTTTATGTGATTCGTTAATAATCAAATTAATACTTTCATTCTTGAATTTGTGTAAATTCTTTTGTTCTAATCATTCTCTTCTTTGCAGACTTTCCTATCATTTGATTGTGCGTGTCAGCATGGCTTCACCCTACCCTTCTACATTCTTTTCCTTGCAGGTCACCATCAGTAAGCCAAGAGATCATCTAGTTGCAAATCTTCTGTTCTCTGTTCTCTTATCCGTTACTGTTGCCTTTAGGTCTATTTTTTCATCATGTAGCCCGCTAATTTGATGGTCGTGTCTACTCCTAGAGCCCTCTTCAGCCAAGAAACCCTTTGGAGCTGTTTGATAGCTCCCAAGATTTGATTTAAGTAGGATTTTGTAAATCTGCTAAATCCGGATTTTGGAAATCCTGAGGGGCCTAAATCCTGAAAACCATTTGATAACATTCATGATAATTCCCCTTATATCTCGTGTGACTGTTTGACTATAGAAGGGATTTAACGAGCGGATTCTTCCTCTCGAGCCAACGGATTTCATAAATCTGACAAAAAATAGGATTTCAGAAATTTGGGATTTCGCACGAAAAGGCGGAATTTTCCGTCGTAGACTTTCATTTGCCGTGAGATTTGGCTTTCATTTGCCGTGAGATTTGGTTTTGCATTTTAGGCCATGTGGCTGGATTTCGTTCAAATCCGGCCTTAATCCTGCTACCAAACAGACCCATTCATGAATCTTGTTTTGCAAAAGTCTGCTCATTTTTTTCTGTCTTGGTGTTGAATATATTTCAAACATTCAAGTAAACTAGGGAGCTTGCTTGCGAAGGAGGCTATTTGTTAATTTGTTATATAGTCAAGCCTTTCACATTCTCCTTGATCAATAAATTCTTTTCTGGATGGCCGCTTCCGGGCTTTATTTGAAAGTTCTTTTGTGATCTCAAATTGTTAGGTTCATTGCCTATCTTCATCCTCTTCACATGGTAATTCTTTTGCATTCAGAAATTGATTGTTCTCTCATGATCTTTCATTGAGTTTATTCACTTGAAGGTTTCAGGATGACAATATTTTAAAGCAGCCTCTTATGACTTAAAGCAGTAACATATTCTGGCCTTAGTATGGACTATTTTCCTTATTTATGGGTGCATTTCTTCGTGTTAACATTTTGATTTTGATATTTTTTATACCCTATTGCAGATTGATTTTTTTAAATTTTTCTCGCGAGACCTATGTAGGTACTTATTGGTAAGTGTTGCTCGTAATTTTAAGGTGTAGATTGGTTCAAAGAAGGGAGGGGACTACTGATAGGATCAAACTTTTTACTACCGAGATATTGTCCGCTTTGATCTAAGAGCTTCACGGTTTTGCCCTGTTGGTACAATTTACCAGTAGATCACCTATTTCAGAATTGCTTTGGGATGAACATGCTTAACTAAGGAGTTTCTTATGAAAATTTTAGTCATTACATCAAAAGTTGCTTGATGATTAGAGTTTGGCTCTCTTTTACTTAAGAGGTTTCACATTTTAGTGGCTCGAGATCTTCATTTTTGTGTTTAAGGCTGCTGGTAGTGGTTTTCCTGTCTTCCTGATAAAATCTCTAGCATTAATCATGGAATTGCTATGCATCAGGTGAACAAGGTGAAGGCTTTGGAGGCAATGGCCCATTTAATGGAGTCCCTTCTGTCAGTCCACTCCTTATTAGCACCGGTTTGCTTATTAAGACTCTATTGGGCCCTTTGGTTTTTGGGTGATCCTCTGATGGGTGAAAGTCAAAAGATAAATGGATTGGTGTTGAAATCCGAGTCTTGTTGGTGAGTTATTGTTGGGTAAATTTGAATTTATGAATAAGCTTGGGGTACAATCTCCTTTGGATCTCTCTTTTGGGCTCATACATTTCAATACCTAAATCCTAAACCCTAAACCCTTAAATATTTGTTAGCAATGTAAATAATGATTATGCTTATTTGTAGAGGTGTCAATTTTTGACACTGACCCAAAACCCGACCTAGAAAAAATCCTCCGGGTTCGGTTTGACTTGGTTAGCAAATGGGTCGGGTTCGGGTTTGGATTTTTTATATGTTTTAAAAATCGGGTTAGGTTCAGGTTGATCCGAAAACTTTAAATCAACCCGACAATGACTTGAAATTATGTTTGCAAAGTTCATTCTGCCCGCATTCGCAGACTTTGCCAGTACTCATGACTTGTGAGTCAACTCGGACTTTGCCAGGCGCGCCATTCTGTGGCCCTGCCGACCGCCTTATGCCATTTCTTTTGTTCAGCTCTAAACCCTAAGCAGTTAGGCCGTCAGTGACATTCCCTCTCGACCGTCCCGCCATCCTTCCTAAGCTAAACTTTAGGCCGTCTGTTAACTACTCAATTCTGTCCCGTCGAGGCATCAACATTTCCTCCCCTCCCGAGTCCCAATGACAATGTTCGAAATTCAATTTGGCGGCAGCTTTGACGAGAGCGAGGATTCCTCCCTTCTCGTACTAATTTGGTTGAAATCTTGTTTCGTGTCAGGTCGGGTCTAGGTTGCATTTTCTAATCCGTTAGCGAAAACGGGTCATGTCAAATAGCGTCGGGTCGGATTCGACTCGATCCGAATAAGACCTGTTGACCCGAATTGACATACCTACTTCTTTACATTGTATAAAGGTTTTTATTCTAAAAGGAAGCAAAAATTGATGAATTAAATGGGTATAATTATGATTTAGTGTTAACCCGACTAAGAAGTTAATTATTCCTTAAGGTGCTACGGATTTGCGAATTCTTTGCTGAATGATCTGTGCCATAATTCATATCGAAAGCATGACGATGGTGATTACTCAGTGAAGTTTTAGAAAGTTTTAGGGGCTATGGCCAACTATAGTTCATTTATTTCTCTTTTATTATTGCATTAGCTAGAACTCGCCAGGCAAGTTGATTATGATGCTAGTTATAATACCTCCTAAAAATTAAGATAAATAATAAAAATATGATTAATTAGGTTGATTAAGTATAATTAATCAACAAATCCAACTAACAAGGGTTAATAATTTTTTTTTAAATGAACATTATTTAGAATCTTAATATCATAAAAATACCTATAATATTTAATTCGGCTAGCAGTTGGCTCTTTGTTGGGGTTATATGAAGGGGAAATCATTAGGTCAGGTCACCAGACAACTTACGTTGAGTATTCATAGTATTGAGCAGTACTGTGCTCGGTACTGTGAAGTACTGAGTACATAGCAGTACTGAGCTTGGTACTGCTCAATACCGAGTAGGAGGTGATGTGGCGCATTTTCATTGGGCTCCAAACACGTCCGGTGACCTGACCCAATAATTTTCCTATATGAAGACCCCTCATTCCCCTTCATTTCATTTTTTTCTTCTTACCATCTTCGTATTCCTCCTTTAAGCAACCATATTGCTATTAATATTATAAATAAGCACATGCTTTGAGGATAAAGCTCCTGAATTAATAGAGAAACATGGAGATTAAGAAAAATGAGGAAGGATAGGATCTTTAATCACTTTTCCTTCTTAGATTACTTTGGGGAAATTGGCTGAATGTACCTTTCATAGTATGCATGTTCTTCCTATAGTGACTGTGTGAAGAAGTTATGAAGAATAGATTTATTATTATTATTATTTGTTTGGCAGTGCAAATAATTTTGCACGTGCAATCATTAAGATGATTATTTATCATATAGAAAACATTATGTAAAATATTTGATTAAAATATCATATAGTGTTAAAATGTCTTAATTAAGCAAGTGAAATGTCAGGATAGGGTTATTTTTATGAAATTTGTCAGAAAGAACAAAATAAACGAGGCAGAGTACATTAGTGTTGGTTTTGCATTGGTGTTTCCTTCATTTTAGGCTTAAAGATAACATGTTTGGGAGCACACTTTGTGCAAGTCTAATACTCGTCGAGTCAGTGAGTAGAATCAATGTTCAATGTGGGGGCCAAAAATTTAGCCTAATTCTAAGGAAAGCAAATTTTTCATAATGTATATAGCTATAGAAAAGAATTTAGAAGTGAAGTTTTTATATTATATAATTATAAGATAATTTTTGTGAAATTGAAAAAGAGCAAAGGGTAGTAAGCCCATGTTGGTTCGAATGACACGTGTTCAAAGCGAGTCTAAGTTGATCATTAGAGCAGATATTTATTATTATTAGATGAATGAATCTAGTTGATCCATTCATCTTATAAACTTGAACCTTACTTTCATTACTTTGTCTCCTATTTGATAGAGTACTTGTTAGGCCACTCAAAAGTTCTGATTAATATATCTATCGGTAGAAGAAACTATTTAGGAAAATCCCCATCTAAAATTCATCAATGGAATTTGTACCATGG